TCCCTTGGCCAGTGGAAGGAAACAAACAAACAAACAACCCTCTGCACTCAAGTCTGCTGTGTCCTGAATGAGGGAGAACCACAGACACAAATGTCATATTACAAATTTATACCACTGAGGCATGCTGGGTAACCAGGTGACTGAGAAAAAAAGTGAAATTACATCAAACTGAAAAACGCAAAAAGCATCTTTTTAACGACTGACTCTGCTGCTCTTCAAGAGTAGATTAAATTTTTTTTTTTCAATTTTGTGACGACAAATTGAATCGTTTTTTTTTTTAAATATTGTTTTATATTAAAAAACTGGGATTATCTTGGATCTACTTTTTTACTTTTGAAAAACGTCTTTTAGACATTGGTCTAGGTTGTAGGTCTAATGAACATTGTGACACACTGACCTGTCAAAACCAAAACTAAACGAGTCTCGTGGTCATTTCACAAAGTATGACATGAGATCATTGAATAAATCTTTTTCATATTTATAAACTGTGTTTTTAGAGTAATGGAGGTTACCTATATATGTTTTAGGACTTTTGACTTATTGAAACATAAGAATTAAAACATGCTTCATCCTTCAGGACGGGGAGTTGCCACAGTTTTGGTCCCAGAAGGAAGAGATGCCATCTTACCCTGCTCCCTCAGCACCAAGCTGAGCCTTCAACATGAGGTCTTTGACTGGAAGAAAGATGGTCAGAAGGAGGTGTTCCTTTACTCTGCTCGCGACGAATACAATAACGGACGTCCGGGACAAGACGAGCAGTTCAAAGGTCGGGTCTCACATTTCCCAGAAGAGTTGAAGCTTGGTAACGCCTCCATAGTCCTCAGAAACACCAAGCTGGTCGACAGTGGAGACTACATCTGTATTATTCCACATCTTCAGCCAAAGCAACAAAGTTTCAACATTAAACTCATCGTTGGTGAGTTTTTCATTTTTGAAAACATCCTGAAAACACGACTAAGATCGCTGCTTTACGCACTCCAATAATGCAATAACTGAGTTCTGCACTTATGATGTGGTGGCTCTCACTGTTAGATTGTATAAATGTAACTACGAAGCAAACAGCAGGAGATAAGCTGATGGTGCAGAGTGAAAACGTGTTGTTGTTGCTTTTCAGAACGTGTCTTTAAGGACCGATCAGGTGATGTCACAGGTGAGTGATGATGTCATTTATATCCGTGACGTGTGCTGCAGCTCTGCAGGCCTGAGCATCATTTGAGAAGTGTTGATACTGAACAGCATAAACAGTTCAGTAAATCAGAGTCTGTGATGCTCTGCTGTTAAACACAGATCAGGAGAAACGGTGTTGAACCCTGTTTTTGATCTATAATCCCAATGTGTGTTAAATGTGAATAAAAATAAAATACCACGACTTTCAGGTCTCATTAAATGATATTTCATTCAGAATAGAACACAGAAAATATATCAGATGTTTAAACTGACAAAAAAATTATATTTTAGGAAAAGAAAAAGGGGTCTTTTTTAATTTGATGGCAGCAAAATGTCTCCAAAATGGAAGGACAGCATCAGGTTTACCTTGTGCAGCATTCTCTCTTCTTTTAACAGCGGTCCATAAACATGTGGGAGCTGAGGAGAGCATGTGCTGGACTATGTGACAGGAATGTTGGTGAAACATCTGCACCACATGTTGCCAAGTTCAGTATTCAGACTCTGCCACTACGAAGCCATGTTTTTTTTTAATAGATCCAGTGTGCAGTTTAGCATGATCTTGGAGAAGTACAGTATAAGAGGCCTGTGACTGGACAATATGTTACTCTTGCCCACAGAGATTTCTTCAGATTTTCTGGAACTGCCATCAAATTCAAAATGATCAAATCTGGGTTCTGCTGGGAATGAAATATGGGTTTGTGAGATCTGCAAATCAGAACAGCTCACAGTTAGCAGCAACATGAAGAATGTGAACAGGTTGTTGTGTGGCCTTGTCTCTCTGTGACACATGAATTTGAAGCTTTATTCAGAGTTCTGTGTGTAAATGAGTGAATGGTGCACAGCCTCTGGGTGCAGAGTTGTAGCACACAGGCAGATGTAAACATCAGTGACATCGTCAGCCTGTTGATTTCTCCACCTCTGTCTTTAGTCTGAGACACTGTGGGTTACGGTCATGTGATAACACTCACCTGTAACAGTACTGTAACTGCAGTATACTGTAGTACTGGACTATAGTACTGTTGTTTAATTTATTTGGTTTAATTGACTGTGAGTTAGTTTTTTATGGTGATTAATTTAAGTAAAATTTCATAAACTGATTTTGTTTTCATCCACCTTCATGGAAGAAAACTACAATAACATTACAGAGTATATAATATAACAGTATATTAGTCTCCGTGACCTTGTGCTGCAGCTGTAGCTTCATGCTGTGCTCACAGGTGCAGCTCCAAAGCCTTTTGTTGGGATCCTGAACATCACGGAGGACGGGGCGCTGCTGAAGTGTGAGGTTCCAGGTGCTTTTCCAAAGCCTTTGGTGGAGTGGAAGGACAGCGATGGAAACATCCTTCCTGCTGAGGAGCCGCAGGTGTCGTACAGAGGAGACCGCTACTACGTCACCCTCCTCATCGCTGTGACCAAGACAGACACCAACGTCTTCCGCTGTGTAGCCACACAGCAGGAGATCAGCCATGTTACTGATGATGAGATCTACGTGCCTCACTGTGGTAAGATTTCTTCTTCTGTTCTCATCCTTGGTGGAATTTTCAGGTTTTAAATAGACGCTGTTTAACAGTAGTTCTGTCTACTGTTCTGTGCTGCATTAACTTGTTGTTCAATGTGTTTCAGAGAAAACAGCTGAGAACTGCTGTGGAGTGGGTGTGGTTGTAGCAGCATTTTGTGGTGGAGCTCTGAGTGCTGCAGTTCTGTTTGTAGTTATAAAGTACATTAGAAGATGGCAGAGAGGTGCGAATAATGATGGATTTCATATTCAGCATTAATTTTGACATACAGTATGTGTGAGGTGTAAAATTCTCAGTATTTTATGGATGGATTTTATGGAAAAACTTCCTTTTAACAGGAAGAAACCTCCAGCAGAACCAGGCTCAGGGAGGGGCGGGGCCATCTGCTACGACCGGTTGGGGTCAGTCAGTAAAGCAGCAATGGACACTCTCACAGTGAACTACTGTGGGTCTCACCTGGTTAGTGATCATCACCAAGTGTTAAACTCCAAAAGCTCAGGGACTCAAACCACAGACAGAAAACAGTAAACCATGAGAGACTTTGGGCTGTGGATTCACCACACAGTGTCTTAAAATCAGCAGAACGTGAACCTGTAACACTCAAAGGCAGCTTATGAGTCTTCACCCAAGAGAACCAGACTGTACATAATTTAAAAAGCTTTAAAAGGTGGAGACAAAATCAGCTGCTTTTCATTCTTACAGCTCAGTTTCTCAATTTGTGTGAGCCAGAAGCCGCTCAAAGCTGTAAAACTGCTGTGACTGTATTTTAACTTGAACACATTCTTGATCAGATTCTCTTTTTATTTTTGCTTTACTTTGTTGTTGTTTTTTTTGTTGAGTAAGTTTGTTTGTGGAGAGTTTGTCTGTATTTGTAAACGTGACTTTAAAAAGATTCCAAGCAATAAAAATGGTGACTTTCAGAATTATGTTGGCGCTGTTAAAGCTGATAATGCTAATGACATACTTGTATTTAATTGCAATGCTACAATCAAAATGCTGATTATATTTTACCATGTGTTTAATTATTATTATGTTTTGACTACTGAATTAATAGAAAAGATCTAAGTCACGACATGAAAAATTTGTATCGCAGTTTTTAAATAAAAAGCCCCCAAACATCCTATTTGTGTGGCTGTTATGTTTGTGTAGCTCAGATATTTCCACACTTCACTCATTTTGAAATGTGAGAAACCTTCTGCAGACACGCAGACCTTTAGCCACGCCAATGATCATCGCAGCAGATAAAGATGAAGGATTTGCTTCTGTCTGTTTTCTTTTTGATCCACTGATGATTTGGAAGATGGCGCGGCCACGTCCAGACGGCTCCCTGACCGCTCCACACAGACTATGCACCTTTTTAGCTGTTTACTTATTTATTGCTTTGTTCTACATCCTAAAACCTTCTAGTTTTATAGTTTACGACAGCAGACCACTTCTCAGTTCCCACATAGACCACCAGAGGGCCACCACCTGCACTTTGTGGTGTGCAGCAAATAAGGAAGTCAATTGTACCAAGCTAACAGCTGGTTTGGAAACACAGATATAGCAAACAAAGACAGTAGATAGTAATGGAAAAACAATACACCTATCCATCTAGGGAGTAGCGTTCTGTTCTCTGCCTTGTGATTAGTGGAGGAATTCTGAAAGGAAGTTTGGTGTGTGGGGAAAGATGCTGAGAGGAAGAAAGGTTCATACAGGTGTGAGCGAGTTTGATCCATGGTGAAAGAGATTTGATGTTTTGGTTATTTTTTTATTGTTTGTTTGGATGAAGTGGTAGTTTTAGTGTTAGTCAGTCCACACAGCCTTGTAGGACTCCTTTTCTTTCCGTTCTGCTCTTTCCTTTCAACTAGTTGTAGCAAAGGGTTGGATGTAACAGCATCAGTGTCACTAAGAACGATTAATCTAACAATGGGGAAAAAATTGTTAATTTTTCTGTAATTTTCCAGACACAGATATTCAAAGTGTAATTAAATCAGTACCATCTTATTCAAATGAAATGATATTCCCATACAGATACATACATTATTTTAATGATTGTATTATGTTCTATTTCGATTTACTGTGATATTAGAAATACGCCTTTTTGTCTTTTCCCCCCAATATTTTTTCTTTTTCTTTTTATAATTTTTACAGAACATACTTAAGTTTGTTTTTTTAATTGCTTTGACATGTATGGAACTTTTTTTTCTTTTTGCATCATCTAGGTTAGAAATATTGCTACTTGAAGAGGAAATACAAGTGTATTTCTTTTAATCAAATTACAAACCTTCATACAAATATTCTTTTTTTTTTTTTTTTTTTTTTTTTTTT